GTTTGGAAATGAATGTGATGCATGTGAAAGCTGGAAATGCATGTGTTTATGCTGGAAATGGGAGTGAATGCCACGACAAAGGTTGGAGAAAAGGTGTGTGAATGGGGTGATTGAATGATTAAAGTGCATATGGGTTAGAAATGTGGCTGAAATGATGAGAGATTATGCACGGCAAGGGAGAATATGAATGCATGTGGCTGATTTAAAAGTGACATGCAAAAGGGGAAATCTGCAAATGGGAGATGGAATGGGATGTACGTGAATTAGGTTGGAAAGGCTATGAATGTGCATGGCACAAAGGTGTGGATGGTTTATGAGTGCATGTGGGTGAATGATTTGTGGTGCAATGATGAAGAGTTGCATGTGAGTTGGTGGGAACAAAGGGGGAAACAAGGCACAAGGGTGCTTAAGTGAATGATTGAATGTGCATGTGGATTAATGAATGAATGGAATGCATGTGTTGATGAATGTGATTGTGGAGATGCACGGCATGGGGTGTTTGTTTGTCTGAAATGTTTGTGAATGCATGTGGATGACAACTAGGAAAGTGGGAATGCATGTGGAAGAAATTGCATGTGGAAAGGTTGGAAATGGGATGGGATAAAGGATGTATAAGCACGGCACAAGTGTTTTGTAAAGGGGAAGATGGTGTGTGTAATTGCATGTGTGTGCATGTGGGTGAATGTGAAGGGAAGACCATGTGCACGGCAAAGAATGATTTGTGGTCAAATGGATGAATGATTAAGAGTGCATGTGGGTGATTTGTGGTGCAATGATGAAGTGGATGGGAGTGATAAGTGATAAGTGATAAGTGAATGGTTTGATAAGTGATAAGTGAATGGAAGTGATAAGTGAATGGTTTGATCTTCAATTTCATCCAACACTTGGGCTCCAAGCATAAGCTATCCATCCTTAGCCCAATAGTGCTCCAAAAGGCCCCAAAACACTCCATAATGCATCCTTTCGTCAAACACGTCTTATGATCCTGAAAACACACAAAAGAAGCATAAAGGACTAAAATAACTAAAGAAACATAACGTAAATGTACGAGAACAAGCCATTTAAGTCGCATGAATATGCTCCTATCAATTACTTAGTTTTGGTTGTGTGCTTTAAATTAACGTTTTTATAGTTGTTTCGCATATAGGTGAGACCTATCCCGAGGATGAGCACAGTCACTCGAGACAAGGGGGTTACGACCCTTCCACATACCAGTGAGTGGGCTTTTGGTTTTCAATATATACCTATATACTTGTGGATTTTTCCCAGAAAATGAAATGGAATGTTTATATGTTTTGAATGCCATGCGTGCGTTTGCCTATTTATTTATGCATTAGTAGTTGCATATATGTATGTTTGGTGCTGCGGATGCACATGTAAGTGCTAGGTAAGTTATGGTTTATGTTTGTGATTAGTAATGATGTGAAATGCATAGAGAGCTCATAACCTGCACCTCAGGTGTTAGAGCTCATAACCTGCACCCTCGATGTTAGAGCTCATAACCTTCACCTCTCGCACCACACGCTCATCTTGGATCCAAGTTAGGTGCATAGTCCTGTCGTACAGACCACTTTAGGTGGTTCCGAATCGTAAGTGACCCGCGATTATTCCCCCAGTCTTCACGTGATCGTAGCACTTGAGCGTATTTATTTACACCCAGTCCTATCGTAGATACCACTTTAGGTGGTTCCGACTCGTGTGCAGGTATAGTTAGTGAGTTGGAGATTTGAGCTTTAGATTCAGCCGTACAGGTCACGTTAAGTGACTCCGGCTGACGGATTACATGGCATTGATTGATATTACTTGAGTACTTACATTTTATGTAGAGGCATTCGACATGGCATATTTCTGAGCATGTTTTCTATATATATGTGTATATTCTATTTTCTGGGAAACTATACAGGTTTTACGGCGAGGGGTTAGAACTTTTGTTAATGAAATGATTTTGAAAAGCTTTGCTTTTGCCCACTCATACTTTCTGTTTTGCACCCCTCTAGGTTCTAGTTTGGATTGCTCTTTTGATGGCTCTCGAGGAATTCACGGCATATCTGACAAATTATCACCAGTGTAGGACCACCTCTGGGTGTGTTTTAGTTGGTGTTTGTTCCTCAACTGCACTTGGTTTTCTATGCTCTGAGTATTGTTTTTCACACTTACGCTTGCACATGTATATTAATTACTCTGTGTGTAGTTTGATTTTTATTTGTTTGTACTTTTATTATTATTCTTAGCTTCCGCACTGTGCACATGGTTACGTCACCCTTGTATAACGGCCAGCATGCCCTGATTTCGGTCGGGATGTGTCAATTAATATAGTTAAAAATTAAATGTAATCTAGCAGAAAAATGGAACATCAGGAGTAGATAATAATCCAAGATACACTGCTAGAACAAATCAACAATTTTTGAGATAAATAGATGAATACTAAACAAAGAGGAATTTACCACATGATGTTATAGAGGACTATGGTTAAACCACCTAGAAAAAAATAGGATACCAAACTTAAGGAGAATTTAACAAAATTAATATAGCAGGTAATATATTAAATTTAGATAATATAGATTAAAAAATTAGGAGAAAACAATAGAGAGATGAGAAAAAAGTTGGGTTCATGCAATATTAATGTTAAATTTTAGTACTCACAAAACAGGCTAGATTATTTTGAGCATACTTTAGATGGCTTTATTTATTATTATTTCAACCATGAAAAGTTCAATATCTAGAACAACATCAGGTAACTAAAACAAATTTTGACATAGATGTTTTGTTGCTTTAATTAAACAAGAATTTTTAGATCATAATATTTAGAGGAAGTGAATAAAAACAAATAAGAGCTATTAGAAATTTAGAACTACAAATTTATGATTTACAGTAGATAGCTGATTATAATTTAGACTTCTTTAAATTTTTGGAAAGTACAAGAATTAGTGATATTAATTTATTACATAAGATAAATAGTATGATTAGGTTTGGTAAGGAGAAGCTATTAATATACAAGTCAAGTCCAACTACAATATCCCCATAAACAAAAATATGGACCTCAAAAGTAACCCAAAGTCCAAAACAAAGTTTGGCCCATGACAAAAAAAAACAGAAAACCTAAACCTAAATGCTTTCTTCTAGCTCTTTCGCCAAAAATCGTCATCGCAGTAGCACATCTTGACGATCTCGAACCATCACCACCAACTATTATCAGGAGCCATCACCTCATAGGTGGAAAGAAGATGGATTCCAACTTCCAAACGATAGCATCTCGTCAAACAACACCATCAAAGCAAAGAAGCTTGTGGGATTACCACAAGCAACACTACCAGAAAAGGCAGACATAGAGAATGAGGTGGTGTTGCCACCTGAGTCAGTGTGAACACTGGAACTCTACACACTTCTCAGTTGGTGACTGCAACAGTTCGTGGTCAAAATTGGTTAAAGGTCTGAATAGAGATGGAATCAGTGGAATCCTAAAGAAAGACTTGTAGATGGGTGAATGGATGAAAGGATCTGAGAGTTCGATGAGTGGATATGAGTGGATGGAGAGATTAGTGATTGTCAATGGTGAAAACAAAAGAAAAAGGTTGCAAAGGGAAAGAAGAAAGGGTTGCCACCAACCCTAATCAGAATTAGGATCAGTGGCAAAGGAAAATTCTAGGGTCTGTTGCTGCTCTCACTCACAGAGAGAAAAACTCTCACTTTCAAAGAGAAAGGCTCTCACATTTCGAGGTGAACCTTGAGACATCTAGAGATCTCTACACCGAAAAAAACAAAAAACATCGACAAAACAATGAAAGAAAATAATTCACTTTATTGATACACATGAAAGATAGAAAGTATTAGTAATTTTTTTCCATATATTAGTACTCGAAAGATTTGTCGTGTCAAGTTTTAATTGTCCTACGTTTCAAACAATAACTATCTCTTGTTTAACAATCACATTATTGGATCGTTTATGCATATTCGTATTTTTTTTATACAACGATATATCTATAAAGATGGGAAAATAAGTTAATAGCGAACTCGGTATTCACAAATGGAAATATATACCACTACACTGTAATGGTAAATGACTTAAACAAATTTGTGTTAAGTAATGATTAAAATCTACTAACTCATGTTTAAAATTGTCATCTTATTCAACAAATGTACAAGGAGTTTAGAAAATTTTTGTTACTCACATGAAAAGTATCTATAGTAAGAAACAAAGTGTAATGGTTTGAGGTTTCGGAACAACTTGCATGAAATAAGTTTATCGCTATATGACGTTTTAGTTTTATACACATGATCAACGGCAAATTCAGGATTGGAACTTTGGAAGTCCCAATGTTAATGGTCCAAGTTTTTTAGATAAAAGCATAGCGCAAATCGCTGCAAACAAATTTCAATTTATTCACGGAGACATTTCATCGAACACTTGATGGGTGTATTATTGGCAACTCAACCATGTTAAGCATATGTCAATGGAAACCGACATAAGATGAAGCAATATGATAAGTGCTATTAAGAGCATTTGTCGAGTGTTGTCGACGCAATCTGCCGAGTGGCTATCGATATATGCTAGCATGCATTACGTCAAACAATTAGTGGGCACAAGAGGTACCCGTACAAAACTTTGAGAGGGTCCCTGAAGATCTTCACATGCTTATTTCCTAGGCTCCAGATGGTCCTTGTGACCACTTTGGTCCCATAGTGCATCCGTCCTTGTACATAATGTTATGTTATTAGACCAAAACGTTAGTGTGCTAGTAACCCGTTCATGTAAGTCCAAGTTTTTACCTTTCCAAAATTTGTAATTTTCCTCAAAAACCGATTTAACCCAGTAGAAAACCCCACTTCCTACACACCAGATCACGTCATCCTTCAACTCCATAACCATAATGCAAGAACAATGAATGATTAAGTGGTTAATCGCAAACTTAACCAATCAGTTAAATTAAATAATTATATTAGCGTAATAATAGAGACGTGAACTACACGGCCAGACCATTATCATCAGCGTACGCGAGAGGTACTCGTACGAGAGTGGAGTGCATACTGTGCAAACGCAGAAAGCGCTTCCCACAAAAGCCAAAAGCGATTCTTTAATTTCCTTCTATCACCGACTGGATACTTCTTTTCACAAAACGCTATCTTTCCAGCTTCCACAGGTAAAAGCTTTGCTCCTAACATTTAAAGCTCGCGAATTTTGATCAATCATTCATCTGGGTGTGCTTGTTTTTGTGCGCAAGAAGTAATTTTCTTGTTTAGGTCCTTTACTTCGATGAAATTCGCATCTGGGTTTTGATTGGATTTGTGGGTTTGCAGTATTTTATTCAATTGGGCTTCTGTTTGCTATTTTTTTGTGTTCTTTACTGTTTTATGCTAGTTTTTGTTCAGTTGGGGTTTTTGTTTGTCTTAATTGTTGAGTAGAAATAGCATTGGGAGAGTTGAATGTAGTATCTGGAGCACAAGAGGGTCTCACAGACTTTGTGTTTTATTGTTCCTTTTAGCAAGGATTCTACAGGTTGTATTTTTGTTCTCATGCTAAAATACTATAAAGAGTAGGTTCAAATGCTAGGGATTGCATATGTAACATACGAAAATGGAATATGCTTCGAGCACTGGAATTCAAAGTGCAACGCCATCACTAATTTCTAGTGCTGCATCGTAGAAAAAGTTCATACGTTCTGTGGTTTTTGGTCGCTGTAATTCATAGCATGAGATTTCTGGACTGCTGGCATCATGGGCGGTAGCTTCTACAGAAAACTGGCACCATAAGCATGGGCATTAAACACTTCAAGCTAAATGTCATACTTTGGTGAATATGGCGACTGAGAATTTAACAGATGGGTACTTGTGATAACCCCCTTTCTTTTATAGTTGCAGTTCTTATTTGATTGCAATTAGCAATATAAAATCCCATTTAAAATTTTTGGGTTCATGAAACTGTCAGTTTTACAGAGTCTGAAAAGCTAATTACATCATCTCTTCAGAATTTACCAATTATTTTGTTCGCTGGTTGATAATTTTGCAGTTTACTTTTTTCCGACATATTTCTGCCTGCTTGAGACCATATTTTGCGCCTGCCAACTCTTATTTCTTATTCTTGCCTCTTTGCGAGGGTTAATTAAATATTTTAAGCACTTTGTTGTGGCTTCTTTTAGGTTTAGTAACATAATATCCTTTTAATGTAGTAGTATATAATCTTCTTAACTCATAGTAACATATTAATTATCTTCAATCTATAGCAATTGACTTAGTCGCCTATGATGCCAAATAACAGGAAGCAATGCCCCTATATACACTTGTGTTGGGTGTTTAAGAAGAATAACTGCAGAGAATGGGAGGTTGTTGCTGTTCTTGCAGAAAAGCTCATCTGCATGGGGCACCTGTATATATCTATGTACGTGTATCTCCCTTCCCACTCCAACATCCCTTTTGTTATTATAGTTTGCTTTGCATTGAGTACCCAACTGTTTAGGGCTGATGGTGGAAATAATTTTATCACATGATATTAGGAGAGTTTCTTGTTTTTTTCTAATATATATAAGTTTACTGTATGCATTAAGATTTGATTCTTAATTCTTATTCTTTTCTTTTCTTAAAACTCTTTTCTTCAGTGTCCTCCTGTTTTGGAAGAGCAAGAGTCCTTAAGATCTCATGATGTCACAGCCTCCGCAATCAGTGCAGGACTCCTGGTTCATTGGGATCTGGAAACATCAATACCAGACACTTACAGACCACCTCCTCCACCTTTGCCATATGATATGGTCTTTGGATGTTTACGATCAACAGATTCTGATTCTGCCAGGGAAACAATTAGTTGCAGTAGTTTTGATACTTCAGCAACTTGTGGAGATCTTGGGGAATCAGACTGCAAAGTTCAAGAAAGTTCTTTGGATATCTCACCGAAGAAGTTAGAACTTTCAAAATCAAATGAACCTCATGTTTTAGAAAAGGAAGACGAAGATGTTTGTCCCATTTGTCTCGAAGGTGCTTTACCATCAATAGCTCAGGGAACTAATTTTTTTGTTGTATGATTATTTTTCATCTCGATTATGGGAAACTAAGAGACACCATTTTTGCATCGCTTTTCTATTTTGAACTGTAGGTAGCTAATGATTAATCTTGTTTCTCCACTTGTAGAGTTTGAAACAGAGAATCCAAAGTTTATCACAAAATGCGAACACCACTATCATCTCTCGTGTATCCTTGAGTGGATGGAAAGAAGTGATTCCTGTCCTATATGTGATCAGGTTTGCCTTCTGCAACAAGTGATGTGTGCAGTTATTTATAGTTTTCATCATATTGTCATGGAAAGGAGTTCGTTTTTCTAGATACTGACTTTGGTACTCATCTGTCAACAATGCTTGCATAGGAAGTCATTTCACCAACGAAGAAGGTAAAAGGAGAGTAAAAATTACTGAAGCACCTTTGATTTTTGGTGGAATGATGATTTCGGAACAGTCACAATCTTAACGGTGAGCCTAGTTAATTGTTGACTTGATGAACCCTAGGTCCAAATTATTGAACAATCGGATCTCTGATTGCATTTTTGTATGTAGTTTTTAAAGCCCTTATGTTTGCAACTGAAGTTTCTCCTCTGATTTTTCAGGAAGTGGTAGTCGAACATACCTTTAGTTTGTAGCTCTCTAGTGCTTTTACAAAACCAAAGTTTATTTGCTTCTTGAAGTCAGAGATTGCCAACTTAGTAGACTCTGGACCGACAGTAGCACTTTGTTTTGAAACTTGCCAGGGATGTGCGGCCTGCAAATCCATTTATAATTTCGGTCATGCTCAATTGAAGATTGCACCGAATCTCTTTAGTTAGCAGTTTTAGCAGGTCAATTGATGGCAAAAGTTTCCTTCCCTATGTGTATAGCTTGATTCCAATTCTCAGACAGGTCTCTGGATTTTAAATGGAGCAATCAAGAGGTTAAGAACAAGGCCTTCCTATGGAACCAAGGTAACGACGGTTCCGCTTTCCACGTAGGTGGTTTGCTACACTTTTTGTGCAGATCTCTTAGTTTGTTGTAGGAATCCTTCTGTACCATTTGTTGTTATCTGCTGCATGATTTGATTACACACTGCAGCCCTTAAATTTGTAAGTTGTGTAAATCCCATTTCTTTTGCTCTCTGGGTGGATTTGATTTGGAGCATTTGTTTCATGTGTGAAAGCATGCAATTATCAAGAAATGTAGTCCTGAAAAGTGTATCACATAAAGTTGATCATTTTAAAAATAGGGACTAGTTGTGGGGCCTACGTTTTGATACACACAAGAGGATACAAAATGATTTGCGCATGAACCACTTTTGTTCCCGCAATGTTGAGAAGTTGATAGCCCCCTACCATATGTTACCATAAAACTCAACCAATTAGGTCAGTGGGGCTTTCTTTCTAGGGCATGATTATGTTTTCAACTTTATTTTTTTAAGTATAAGAGGTATTCCACCGCACATTGTGATGGTAGACTAATTCTTCTCTCCCATGTAGTTCCCACGGCAATGCCTCCAAATTAAATTGTACACAAAATCAGAGTCGGTAATCCCAATGAATGCAATTGTGTGAGTTCGAACTGGGGTAAGGAGCTCCAAACGTTGCCTTTCAACTTCAATTTTGTTTAAATGCCTATTTCAACTTTCAAGAATTGGGAAACATTTGGAATCCTTGTCTAACTTCTCTATGATTTACAAGTATGCAATTCGGAAATTTGTATCAAACGCATACTAAACAATGAAACACTTGGTTCTTGTGAAAACAAGGAGTTGTCTGCTAGTCAATTGCTCTTTGGCCCTATATACACGCTTTTTCTTTTTTTATACAAGCGATATTGGAAAGAGAGACTAACATTAAAGGGAAAGGGGTGGACTTGGCCTCACAATTGGCTAATAATAATGTGGTTCGAATTCGCCTTTGGCAAGAATTGAACCTAAAACGTCTCACTTACAAGTGAAGAAGAATATCACTAGACCATAGTACTAAGTGGGCGCTTAAGTGTTTTATTAAGCGTGCACTCAAATAATGGAATTGGAGGATTGAAATGCTTTTTAGTGCTGAGAAATGATTAACCCTTAGGCCAGCTCCAATGGATAGGGTATATTTAAACTCTTCGATTGGAAACGGTACATGAGTATCTGACACTATTCATTTAAAAATAATTTTTTTGGGACTATAATCATGGATAAGACTATGTTTAGCTATTACAGTTGAAGAAGGCGTTAGGCCTCGTTTGGTGGGCTAGATGAAATAGGTTGTGATTGAGGGCTTGAGTCCAGTCCATTATTTGTTGTGTCAAAATGTAAGATTGAAAGGATTGGACATGATAGGTTATGATTCCACAATAGAGTGGGTTATCAAATATATTCTTATACATGGGTTATAAATCATGTGTAACAAGTTCATGTCTATCAAATCTCATCCTTAAGGCCCAATCTCATCCATCACGAGTTAAACACAACCTAAATATATTCTCAATCATTGAATAAATGAACACACAACTCAACGATATAGGTTAAGTGTTTTGTTTGGGAATTGGATCCGCTCTTGATCTTAATATCCGGAGTCTAAGGATCAATTCATCCGGACCATTGATTGGTGTGTAAAAGAAATCAGAGTTGTTGGCTTGTGTGTGGTGGGCCAGCGAAATAAATTAATGAAACCATATGATTCAATTTGTGCGGCCCAGATAAGTTAATCCTTAGGCTTTGACACTAAAGTCTGGAGCAGATCCAATTCCTTTTGTTTGAAGAAAACTCAATGATGGCTGGACCCGGCCGAACTACTTAATTCTTAACCTTTAAAATCAAATGATTATTAGTGTGATGAATTTTATAACGCAAATAAAATTTCTTAATAAAATTTCTTACCATGTTAAGCCTCTTAAATGTAAATAAAACTCAATGAGACTATATGAAAACACATTTTCCTCTTCCACTACTTTGTCTTCGTTGATTCAAATTTTATTATTAGACAATAGAAAATTCAAATATTTCTCAAAAAAAAAAAAAAAGGTAGAATTTTTTTTTTTCATTAAGACCCCACATATTGTTGAATACTTTCCACAAAAAATTATAGGGAATTGTTATTGACACTCTAAATTATTATCTATTAATATCTTTTTAAACCTAAATTACCACCTAAGTTACCCCACAAACCCAATCCAATATGTTAATTAATCTTTACCCCCAATTAAAAAATAAAAATAAAAAAAAAAACGAAATTAACCCCAAAGGTCTCAAAGTTGTCAAAGCAAGATAAACGTTAAAACGGTGCTAAGCATGACCTTGGATTGTAGGAACAATCCGGGCCATCGCGGCAAAAGATTAGAGGAACACAAGGCGAGTGATTAGAAGCTATGAACTGGAATGTAGCGGATGTCTTGTTGTCAAAAAGTTAGGCAAAGATTGTCAAATACGGTTGGCATATTTGAGTATGACCCAATGTGGGACAGCTCTAAAACTTCAAAATCATCATTTGTTCATAAAAAAAAATAAAAAAAAAGAAAGAGTTTTTTTTTCTCTATAAAAGCGTATTAGGGTTTTGGTAACTAACTTATGTAGGAGGAGGTAGACAAAGAAAGGTTTTAGTCATAATAGGACGTAGGAAAAAAAGTTGTGTGATTGTAAGGGTTTGGCTATTGAATGTGGGTTAATGGATAAATTTAAGTTTTATTGTTAGTTTAATCTTGTACTTTATTATTTTATTTTTTTTATAGTAAATAAAAAGCATTAAAGAGAGAATCCCCTTATACACCCAGAGCCATTATAGTCAAACATAAAAGCCATGTTAGCCTCCATTGGGAGACAGGCATCCCAAATACAAAGCTCCTTTTTCTTGAACCCACTTTATGGTAATTATGCAATAGGGTAAAAAAGACACTTTACATTTAAGGTTTAAGTTGGGTGTAGAAAGAGGTTATAGGGATTCAAATTAAATTTCCCTATGAGTAATTTGTTTAACATGTTAATTTTATTTTAAATTCAGAATCACATAGCAAATAGTTAATTACGCAATACCTTAGGTCATCTCAACCGAAAGGGCTAAATATAGTCTTGTCTAGAATTATAGCCTTGCAAAATATTATTTTTAAATGAACAGTGTCAGGCCATACTCATATATCATCTCCAACCGAAGAGGCTAAACATAGCTTTTCAATAATTTATTAGTTTTAAATTTATACTTTAAATTTATTAGTTAATCTAATTAAACTACCTTTAGATATTTTCAAGTCTAGCAGTTGAATTTGAATCAATTATTGTAACTGATGAGCTGGACCCCAAAAAGAGGCTAAGAAATGGGCTACATTTGGCCAACCTGATGCCCTTTTGGCCAAATAAAATAATGGCCTAGTGGGGTCCATAGAATTATAACCCAATCTTTGGTTGGAGATGAGTTATTGGGCAAATCAGATCATTTTTTGGTTTTTAGACCTTTAGCCTTCTCTATTGGAAATGACCTTACTGGTTTGGTGCTTTGCCTTGTTCTAGTTGGAATGCAACCATAGTTCCCCCAATTGCCGAATGTCAACACTTCTCAAATGGATTCAGGTGTATATAAGTCACCTAGGACCTGCAGGTCAAGGCGGGTACAAGCGGTTCGGGGCTAGTTTAGGGTAGGTCCAATATTGTTTTTACAAAAAACAGGACGGGGCGGGGCAAGGCGGGGCCTTACAAATTTCGAGGTGGGACATGTCTAAGTATTTGAGAACACAGGTCCCCGACCCAAACCGTATCCACCATCATTTCTCGATTCTTCTTTCCCAGACTAACCCTTCATTTCTCGTTTCTACTCTCAGACTTCTCAACCTCTCCCTCACAATCTCTTTCTCCTTAACTTACACTTTGTCCCCGTCTCCGTCGATCGAGGTCCAGTCCTACCCACCACTTGACCACCATCTCCGTCGATCGAGGTCCCTCCCACCCGCCATCAGGACGAGTTCGTCGACATTAAGAATTTGAGGTCGATGAGCCTTTCGTTGCAATCTTGCTTCCAACTTTTAAAAAACCCAGATTGGTTTTTATTTAGGTTTCCCGAGGGTTTTGGGATTTTGGTTGGGGTTGTTTGGTTTTTTGTGGGTTTTGGGGGAATTTTCTACTATGGGTTTTGGTTTGGGGGTATTTTTTATGTTGGATTTGCTTGATTTTGACTTCAAATTGAAGCTAATAATGTTAGATTAGCCATAGGAGATAGGATTTATGTGATTGTACAAATGTGCTTGATTTTGGGGGAATTTTCTGATATGGGTTTTGCTCATTGCTTGATTTTGACTTTCTTTCTCCATTCTCGTTCTCTTCTCCCTCCCACCCCTTGATTGTGAAGCTCCAGATCGAAGAAGACAATGGGCTCAACTCGACTGCTGCTGATTGGAGAAGACAAGATTGCGAAGCTCTAGATCGGAGAAGACAAAGATTGCACCCGTGGTCCCGGCCTGAATCGGCCCGTTTGAAATGGGTCGGGTTAGGTCCGGTTCCAATATTTGAAATTTCATTACTCACCCCGACCCGCGCCATTGCATTTTCATACAGGTCCGGTCCGGTCCCTCCAAATTTGGGCCCGGCCTTGCCCGTGCCTAGCCCTACTCACGGTACCTAAAATTTTAATATATATTTTATATATAATTATATTTATAAAATAGAATACTTTGTGAAACAAGTATAATTATAACTAAATCAAAGATAATAACATCTTCTTCATTATTAAGTCTAGTTATACTTAGAAACTATGTCATATAGTCTTAAAATGTTGTAATTATTTATTTTATTGTAAGTAATTATAGAGAACTTCAAGAGAAATAAGGCTAAGTGGCCACAATTATAGGGAATTTCAACGAAAATAAAGGTGGAATTTCGCAATTACAGGCAATTCAAAGAAAATAAAGGTTGAGTGGAGCAATTATAGGGAATTTAGAATGAAATAAAGGCTGAGTGAAGCAATTATAGGGAATTTAAAATGAAGTAAATGTTGAGTGAAGCAATTACTATAGGGAATTTAAAGGAATAGAATGACTAAATGAAGCTGCTATAGGGAATTTGTAGAGAAATAAAAGAGAAATATGATTATATGATGTTTATCTTGTTCTTTTTTGTTGGAATGTTATGAGAATATCCATAAAAATATGCTTATCTATAAATAATAAACACAAAAAGATGCTTATCTATCTATCTAATAAATAATATAAAAAATAAAAGTGAATAAAAAAAAGATAGCGGGGTAAGAAATGTTAGCAAAGTGGGGACTATTTAAATTTTAAAGAGAAAAAA